AAGAGCTACATTCCCCTTTTTTTACCTCCGACCTTATCGTGTATCCTCCTTCAAGTAGGAGGAAGACGACGAAGCGCCAACCAATAATCCCCTCCCCGGGTATGCTGTAGCCCGGCTCTTAAAAAATCACCGAAAGCTACATTTTATAAGTGGCTTATAATGTTAGCATCCACATAGGAGCTTCGATTGCGAAAGGCCAATAAACCCTTCCTCTGTTGGATTTTTAGTGATTGGCCCGGAGACAAAATAATATTTCTATTCGCAGGGATGCGAAAATTAGTCTAATTCATTGGATGTTTAGCAAAACCAATCCCGCCTAGGTGTTTTTAGTTCTGCGACTTTAGCGACTCTCCAACCCACAATTAAAAAGATCATAATGAAAATAAGGAAGCAAATCATCATTGAGATATAACGTAGCGCACTTGGTCGTGATGCCACAGCAAGAATGCTCAGATTGTTACATTCGAGAAATTTGCAATTTGCAGGGACGCATGTAGGGAACGCAAAACCATGTTTCATTTTCGCTGAACGGTTATAGCAGTACCAAAAAAGAAGCATAAGGTACTGTTAAGGGTTCGATCCCCCGTGGCGACTAAATTTTGCATTTGGGTTGGCGCCTACGGTTGGTGCCAAATCGCGCTAAATATCAAAATCAGATGTCAAATTCATCGTCAGGACCATTTTGAAGCCAACAAGTGGCCGCCAACCTTGATTGCAAAATTTAGTCGCCGCGGGGGATTGAACCATCAAGGGTATTATTCACCACTTTTTTGGTACTACTAAAACCGTTCAGCGAAAACGAAACATGGTTTTGTGGTCCATACATGCGTCCCTACAACATGTACTAAACCGTTTCCAAAAAGCGCACTTGCCCTGAAAGACCTCCCTTGTAAATGGTTGGAGACTCGAAGCGAATTTCACATTTTTCTCAGATTTGCAGAACGAACAGCTCAAATGAATATAAATATTGGACCTTCAAAATTCGAAACAGCATTGAGAAGGAATGAATTAGAATCAATGAAGCAATTAGAAATGTCGCCTAAATAGGAACACTGTTCAAAGAAGGCTGACTACAAGCTTGTTGCATTTCATAGCGAGCTTAGCGGAATATTTAACGCTTTGCGACGGAAATGAATCGATCTAGCTGGCGGCTGAAACTCGCCATCATGTGAAACCGATGTTCACCGGGAGCGTTCAGAGATCATTGCGTGACAATTGTGGCTGTCGCCAACGGCACGTGCGCGAACGTTTGCGCTGACGGCGCGGAACGGAACAGCGCTGACAACTGTGTGCGCGTGTCTGTGAGCCTATCTGCGTGTGTGCGTGTATGTGGGTGTGTGGCCATCTCGCAAACAACAAAGTGCAATAGGCACAACAGCTTCGCAGCAGCTGAGTGAGCACGAACGACGTGAACACAAGAAAAGAAGAGAACGGATCTGAAGATCTGAATGAGCAATAGGTTCGTGCGCATAAAAAGTAGCTCACGCACGTGTGTCAGTTATCTTGGACTGGGATAAGCTGCAGCAATCGCTAAAGCTCAGCGGATGAGCTTTAGCGATTGCTGCAGCTTATCCGCTGTCCACTGCGGCAGACTTATTTAGGAACAACACACCTGTCAGTACTAGAGGACACTGCTTCTGTGACGATGTACAGTAGCGGTCAAAAATTCGAAAACCTTCTTATTTTTGATCTAGCGCGGCCGACACCTAAATGATTTAGAAAATACATACAAAATCAAGTCCAGAATACGATGTGGAGAATAATTTTGAAAAATCTATAACCATTTTCAAGAAATAACACTTTTATCGAGAAATGGCGCGTC